GAATACAAACTTTTGAATTGCAAGCCATAAACTCATTTGAGTTCCTTCTCTATTAGCATCAGCATGAGCTGACTCAGGAACATTTGTAGTTTCTCCCACATTACACCAATCATCTTTATCAATATTTGAATAATGGTGATTTAAGGATGCCAATCGCCATGGTTTTGAATAGTAACTCGCCCAATCTGTAATTAATTTAATTATATAAATAAAATGGCTTATTCATATATAAATTTAAAAAATTGTGTCGTACCTGATGCACCAACTTCAGAAGATTCAAAAAATTCCAAAAATATAGCTGTGACACGTTCTTTATTAGCCATTAATAACTCATACTTTAGATTTTTTAAATAATTTGATAGTTGTGATTCTGCGATATTTCTATATAAAAACAATTAGTAATAGATTAGTAATTAAAAATCACATAAAATTATAAAATATACTTGCTTTTTGTAATGTACTCTACATGACTTAAAAATATAAGTCAAATGAGTTTCCCAAGTTGTTTTTTGATCCAAATCAGCAAGTGCCAATCCAAGTCCTTTGGCTTGTGCGGCATCTAAATCACCAAGAATAACCCTCCAGCCAGTATTATGAATATGTTTAATTTGAACTTTTTGATTACAAAGTTCTTCAACAGTCTCAATGGTGGCTTTGAACATGCGCTGGTAAGCATTTGCAGTTGCGATATTCGTAAAAACTCTTGCATAGGTAATCGCTAAAAAGATTAAATTAATATTGTGATATATATTAATAATAATATATAAGTTTACTTAATTGATATTATGATTTGAATCGAATTCATTTAGTTCAAACTCATTAATTTCTCCATGAACACGTTTGAATGTTAAATCGATTTGAAAATATTGGGCATTTAAAAGTCTTGCTGCCATATTTTTATTCATACATAGTACAAATATATGTCCGTCATCAAAAAATGCTATTAGATTAAGTATTAGTAAATAATTACACAATAAAAATATACTAATATAATATAAATATACCTATTCTTTGTACATATTCATGAATATTATCTAGATTGGAAGAAAAAGCGTGAACTAAGCCCAATATGCCTTGTCCATGTGGATGAATTGAATTTTGAACACGGGCAACAAGATAACGAAGATGATCCAAATTATTGAGTGAAGCATGAATTTCTGGCAATAATTTGCTTCCAAAGTAGCTTTTGATTAAATTTCCTATAATTATTATTAAATAATAAGTATTAGTTTGATTATTGATGTTAGAGTTAATTTATTAAAAATTAATACCTGATATTAATCTTCGGGGTGTAACATGTTCTAAATTAGTTGAGACTTTTTCAATTAAAGTTTTAAGCCGATCCCGAATAGCTTCTGGTATATGACTTGGTGGAGGTGGTGGATGGGTATGTTCTCCTATACATACCAATATTATGAAAGGACATTTCACAAGATCAAGAGGTGTAAATCGATAAAATTTAACTTGACATGGTATGTTTTCTAATGATGCTTCATAAGGTTGATTATTTTCATCAAGATGAGGAAATGCTAAAAAATTATAATTATTAATTGTAATTTTTTAAAATTAACAATTATTGAAGATACTTACAACAAACTTTTTTTTGTGTAGTATTAGACAAAACAGTACAGCATCGATCTTGAATTAATGATCGATCAAGTGCTTCTCCAGCCAATAAACGTCGAATAAGATTAACATCACATGACTCAGATACTGGAACAAATCGATGCCAAGTATCTCCATTAGCCCAAAGACTACATCCAATAAAATAGCTATCTTTACACTGTAATATTTGTGATGTGCGGTTGGTATTTTCATTAGTTCGATACCGGATTAAGGTGCTTTCTTTAATTTTTCTTAAAACTGATAGACCAACACATGATGAACCATCAGATAAAGTTTTTGGACATGTATTTTTAATTATAGCGAGATAGAATCTAAGCCAATAAGTTAAATGAGATTAATGCTTTAATATTAAATTAAATAAACTTATACATATATACATACCCAAGTGTATTTGTATGAATCGATCTAGTTAATAATCCATTTTTTATTGCTTTAAAAATACTAGAATCGAAGTCAACACTGCAATGTTTGGCAGATTTAATTTGGTCATCAAGATGATGACAAATTGTAACACCTTGACATGTTCATTGGTCTTTAGTTACGAGTATATTTCCAAAAAAAGGGCATTTGACTTTTGTTTGACCACCAACACCTAAACTGTACTGAATCTAAGTTTAAAATAATTATAAGAATTAATATATTCTAGCTTCAAACTCAATGATCATAATTATTACTTACATCTCGAAATACTGCATGTGCTTTTTTCTTTAACTCTGCTTGAACTTGTTTTTGTACTTGTTTGCTATCATCATAATCTTCAATATCAAGCACGTTGTATATAGTAGCGATACCAGATGTTCCTTTGTCCTTTCGTGAACTAGTTGGAGGATATTCAACTGAGACTGTGGAATAATGTATATTGTTGGCACTAACAGCTAGATGTGCAGTAAAATAAGCAACAGCTTCTTCAATATTTTCTTCACCATTTTCGCTAGGATCAAGCTACAATAATTAAATTTTATAACTAATTTGTTTTCTATAATTCTTTTGTAATATACACTTATACTTACTTGTTCAATATCACTGTATAATTCAAATTCTTCTTCCGAGTTTGTCATTGCTCACAATTTTTTTGTGAAGTTTGAATATGAAATTTGAACGCGAAATCTGAACGTGATGATATAATTTCGCGTTATTTTTTTGTGTTATAATGTCAAAAACGTGACCTGCAACATATTACTAAACTTCCCAAACTTTTCCGCATACTCCCACTTGCTTACCCTCCAAAATAAACCTTATTGGTTTAGCACACGGCCATGATACCTCCCACTTGCTTCATTGCACATGGATATAAAATAAAATCAATTAAAAGATACAAGATATGATCTATTTTTGCCATGTTCAAACAATTGGCTAATAAAAAAACCATCCGGTTAAAGTCTATGATATAATTTCCCAACCTTTTTCACCTATCTTCCCACTTGCTCATCTTTCATTTCTTTCGTTCTTACTATGAACGAAATACACTTGAGATTCATGTGAAACAACTATGGCATGGTACGAGATATTGATGTTTTTGCCATATTCAAGCAACGATTAGCTAATAATAATTCTCTAGTTAAAGTACACATTTGATATATGTAGAGCACCGCACACGAAATACAAACGAGATTCATGTAAAACTGTAATGACGTAAAATCAAACTATCTATCAGTCACACATATATGTATGACTTGTATGACTTTCATTATTGTCATATCATACCGGCAGTACATGTGATCTTACTCTATACTATACAGTCAGTACACGTGTATGACACAATGACTATACTGGTAGTACAAATCATACTTTGTCATTTTACTCTCTGTACCATACTGATCTGCTAAGTCATACCATACTGATATTCTATAGACCCCTTTAGTTATCACTATGTAAACTTTTAATTCTTACTAAATACCATAAATTATACTTATAGTTAAAGTTGTAGCTTATATTTAGAGCTACAAATCGGTATATGATACTATATGCTGATCTTTAATCGAACTCGAACCAG